TGGGCTTAACGTTGGCGATTAAGAGATCGCGTGCGGCTTGTTGGTCGCCCCGTAATGTTTTGATTCGTCTGTCGTTTCCTGGAAACTTGACGCACTGATGGCACGTTGAAGAAATGGCTTTCATCGAGTGGAGCAACGGCGTGCCAAGTATAACATGGTAGGGTGCATCGGTGGCGATGACGGAAAACTTGACCATCCGGGTTACTCAGCCAGCATAGACCGGGAATCTAATGGTGTCGATCATCTCTTCCAAGACTCTGTTGAACCCGGTCAGGGAGTGGTTAGATGGTTTCATGAGATGCAGGTCGGCTCCCATCTTCTCGAGGGTTTTGTAGAAGATGAGGTCGACCGAGCTACCGGTATCGATTAGTACCTTGGTTACTTCACAGTCTCCAATACCCAACTCGACGGGTAAGGGATCGTTGTGCGGTATATGGACTCCGAGTGCGTCCTCTGCAGAGAACGTTATCGGGAGGTCATTCTTTGGTACGGATGGCAATTTCTGTGAAGTCTTTGCCTGACGTTGCTGGGCTTTGATAGACCGGACCGAGTCGCCACATGGGGGTGAACCTCCCATTATGATGTTAGCTCGTTTACCCTCGAGTTTGGAACGTAGGTTGTATGGCGAGCGTGCGATTGTCGTTGGTTTGGACTTGGTCAGGTTGCCTTTGTTCGCATCGAGCTGCTGTCACAGATCTTGGGTCTCTGGTTTGCGAAGTATGAAACAGAGGTCGGCGACCTTCGAGTTGAGGTGGTCCCTCAAATCCGTTCTGATAGGGGACGAGCTAGGTACGTCCGGAGTAGCGACCTCGTCTTCGGATCCGACGGACTCAAACGATTTCGTCTTGGTCGCGACGTTCCTTCACTTCAGTTTATGCCGTAGATCGGCCGAGCTCAAGCTGTCTCGTTTGGTAGGTCGTTTGGTAAGGTGTGTACGCAGATCTTCTTGTGCAAGCTCAGGCTTATGACTCGTCGTTGAGCTTGGGCGTACGAGGATAACTTCGACTCTTCGTCGGTTTCTCGGCTGCTCCTCGTCGGCGGATGAGTCTTCTTTCTCTTGCGCTTTGGGAGCCTTTTCCTCGGCATCCTTCTTTTGCTCGGGTCGCAGAGCCTTGGCTTGAGACTTTCGACCCTTCTTGTCTTTGTTTTTGCTCCAGCTGTTCTCCTTTGATTTGGTTTTGGGTGGTTCGATTTCAATCTTGCTGCTGGCGACCAAAGAGAGGAAATGCTCGTACAGAACCTTGCATTCCTTAGTGTCGTGCTTCTTACTCTTGTGGTATGAACAGTACTTCTCCGGTTTGTCAGGTTTTGACCCTGAGGCTTCGGATGCGCCTTATGGCTTTGGTTCGTCGTCCGTCCTGTCCCAGTGGTTCCATCCCTTCGCTCGGACTACGACCGTTGAGCCCAGGAGGTTATCTTCGTCGACCATGTAGACAAAGCTTTTCTTGGGGTTCGCTTTGTCGTTTGGGGCGTGTTGTCGTGGCTCCGGACGGGTGTCGTTATTCTTTGACGATGCTTGCTTCGTCGCATTCTCCTTGCTGATGATTGCCTTGGTGTCTTCTTCCATGCGAATGAAGTTGTTCGATCGAGCAATAGCATCGGAGAGGGATTTAGTCGGGTGACGATAAAGGTCGTCTCGGAACTTGGAGTCCACGTACAATGTGTTCATTAGGGCGTCGACAACGATGCTATCCGGGAATTTGACTTTGGATACAATCCCCTTGAATTTTTCCATGAAGCTGCGAAGGCTTTGTCCCTGTGCTTGGGAGAGGTTCCAGATGTCGGATGCGGTAGCTTCCTCACGCGTGAACATTATGTAGTTCTTTAAGAACACGGACGATAGGTCGTGAAAACTGTCGACGGAGTTTTCTGGGAGACCGGTAAACCACGTGAGGGCCACGCCGGTTAGGCTCTCGACGAAGAGTTGGCAGTCGCCGGCCTCTCGTTCTTCGTCGGAGAATTTCTGTCGCCGCATCACGATGTTAAAGGACGTGATGTAGGCCGTTGGGTCCGAGAGACCGTCGTACGTCGGCAAGCGGATCTTGTCCATCTTGCGGAGTCTTACGCTGGTTATCTTGTTAGTGAACGGAGTCCGAGGGTGTCTGCAAGGACGTTTTCGATGAGCGGAGCGGAAGTCGTGACTCTGTGAATCTACGAGTTGATATCGACAAGAGCTTACTTGAGAGCAGCGATTTCCTGGATAATTTACAAATCTGGGCCGTTTTCCGGTTGTATAGAGTCATCCGGGGGTCCGGTTGGCATGATGGGCTGGTTAGCCGGAGTAGGGATAGGGTTTGTGTGAAGAGGAATCGTCGGACCGTGGAAAGGTGTCCCCCGGCACCGTCCGGATTCGCGAGTACGGCTGCGATAGCCGCGAGGTGCTAGTTCGTCGTCTTCTGGGCTTCATCTTGGCGAGCAAAGCGCTCCATGACGGAGTCGACGAAGGTGAGAGCGAGTGGTATGGTGGCGCCCGAGGTCGGTACTGCGGCATCTTCCTCGTCGCCAGAGGTTGAATCGTTACTTGGACTCATAACTTGTGTTGACGCTACATTGTTATGTCCCACGGTGGGCACCAACTGTTCGAACCGAGTTCGGTCTTTTCAGTGAGTGAGTGACTGGACTCGTGTGTGGGTTATTTCAAAGGCGTTATTTACTATTTAGATTCTATGAACGGTTTTATTGAAAAGAGATTTCGGTTACAAATAAGGAAAGGTGAGGCGAGGCGGAGTCTCGAGGGAAGCTCAGCCGTGCCGTACAAGTCGGAAAGAAAGTGCAAGAGTGAAAACCCTAATTCTAGCCGCTTCGTGAATGAGAATAATTTCGGATCCCTTTCCTTGTTGCCTCTTCTTTCCCTTTTATAGCGACAATGCCTTGACCTAGCGAACTGGTCGCAGGTTCGGAGGCCTTCTGCCAAATGGGCTTCGATCAGCCCGCGAAGATGAACTTCCTGCCTAAACATCCTTAACTCGGCTAATCACGGAGATTATCCGAATTAAGCTTGATTATCTGCCGATCACGGCTGGATTACCTTGTTGAACCGGAGCTCGTATGGGCCGGGCCCATTATTTAGTAGGCCTTGTAAAGGGGAGTATTCCACCACTAGACGTCAAGAACGGCTTGGAGTGTGTTGGGGTAGTACCAACAACCTTTGTAGTTGTAACTAGAGACTGTAACCCATGAAATCTTTGTCTGAAGGAAGGGAAGATATCAACTTCTTGGTTTCTTGGCTAACGTTATCACCTTAGGAAGGTGAGGTTCTTGAGAAGCCTCCATAGTGAATGATAAACCGCAAGTGAGGAAAGCAGTCTTATCCCTAAAAATCGAAAACAAGTTTTTGTCGCAAATTCTTTTGGACTGATATTCATGAAATTTACCCTAATGACATCTTCAATAGTAACAATTGTAAGATTATCTCAAACAAGATATATATTAATACTTTTAAATAAATTTTCTATATAAAGAGATTCAAGAAGAAGAGAAAATAAACTACTAGCTTAGAAATAAATAAGATTCATGATTCTTATCAGTATTTCAGAAATTCTCAAATGAGGTTTCTCTTTTTCTTTCTTACATCTTATTATTTTTGTTATAAATTTTGTAACTATTTGAAAACACCATAATGAAGATGCTTCACATATTCTGTCAAAATTTAACATAACAAAAAACGTCTCTATTTTTTATCATAAAGCAAAATAACATTAACCAAAAATAATAAAAAGTTGCAGATTATTAGAAACTACGACTACCTCCAGTTAAGATTCTAAGTCATCATCACCAATCCATAACGTCTGATTGACTCTGGTTTCTTCAAATCAGAAGCATGGGTTACTCGGAGAATCTCCTGCAAAAAAAATGAACACTTTGAGTCACCATTCACCAAAGAAAAAACTAGACACAAAAGACAACATCTGAAGCATTTCGCTGTTATAAATAACCATCTCATACCGTTCTCATGAAGTTAATTAGGTGAGGTTTAAAAAAGAGTTTTCAAGAATGTAAACTCACAGAGATAGAAAGAGAATCTTATGCTCACGCCGGCGAAAGCAGCTGGGAAAAAGGGAGGAGAATCCTCCGGTGCCAACAAGGGTTTGAACTTGCGGAGGATCTTGTATGATTCGACGATTGATCGGATGATCCAGAATAGTTGTAACTCACATAATAAATGATGCTCTTCTTTCTTTAGACTTTTACAAAGAAAGCGAATAAATGCTCTTTCTTCTTGGAACTTTTATAAAGAAATTTCTCTACTAGCAAAAATCATCGCTGGAATAGACAAGGGAGGAGAATGATCTCCGTGGTCCTCCATTGTATTCAGAGTAAGAACTTGAGTAAGTTATCTTCAAATTTCGAGAGAGAGAATATAGAGAAAAGCGTAAGGAAAATATAAAAATTTGAAAAGGTTTGCCTGATTTTTAGTAAAGCATATGTAAGAAGCTAAATGAATCTGACATAGTGTATATCACTTTGATCAACAAAAAAAAAAAATCACTCGACATTTTCTATGATATGCAAAGGAGGTTGGTCGGTAGATTAAATTTAGGGGTATTTTTATCTTTATGATAAATGCAGTGTGTCTAATAGTGTTGTTTTGGTATATTACTAGACAAGAGGAACGTTATTTTGTAGGAGATGCAAATTCTCTAAGATAAAAACAAGCAAAGCAAAATGAACAACAAATACTTCACAAATTAAAACATAGCCAAGAAACGAAAAGTAAAGAGCTGCTGCTGATAACTTAATAACAAGTTCACCACTCTAGGTTTGAGATTTTAACGTCGATTAGTAAGACGTAACAAGTTTAAAAACACGTCCGGACTTGCTTTCTTCTTCATAAGTTTGCTCATTCGATACTTTTTTACCTACAATATATGAAAACAATTTTTGAGTATACATGCGACTTATGTACTTGTTTTCTCTTCAATCTTGCATAATTATCATTAAGAAACAAAAAAAAAAAAAAAAAAGTCTTGCCTCTCGCACATGATGTCGATCGTAGTCAGCTATTCGAGCTCGCATGTTGAACTGAAGTTTGGAGTTATAAAACGCAGGAAGTCTATTCTCCTGCGAGTGGAAAAAAGGTTAAAACAAATGTTATTTATACAAAGCAGAAAGAGAAAAAGGATGCTTACTTCTTTTGCATGATTTTGATCAGTTGAGAGATGGGTCCTGAAAGTATCAATGCTTTTAGTACCAAAACTGCACAATTTGCAATAAAACCTTGAGGTAGGTGCACCACCGCTTTCACTTTCACTGCGTAGTGCTCTTTTCTCTGAACCTTTGGAAATGTAGTAAAAACAAGGGATTAGAGACAGCTAAGAATGGTGGTGGTTATGTTTTAAAACAGAAGTGGATGTGAGAGAGGACCTGCAAGTAAGCTTTCCCAGAGCCACTCTGCCGAAGTGAGCAGGAATGACATTTTGGAAGGCCTAAATGAATAAGCCAGAAAAAGGTTGTAATTATTCTCTTGTAGTAGGCGGACAAGACCATGTGAATTCCAATCCACATGATCCGATATGACCATCATTATAGCAGCTGTTTGAGGTGGATTAGCATAATGCCAAGCGTGCAGATCTGAAGACAAGTCTTTGAAATCTGTATCATCATCAATCAATCAATCAAAGGGTATAAAAGGAAAAAAAATTTAAAAGCTAAAAAAATAAAAATATTCCAAGGAGGACTAACCGGGAATGACATGTACAACAAGGACACCAGTGGAAGAGAGAGCTTGCAGAGTTTGCAGGGGAGTATGATTATGGTCGTCATAGGCAGTGATAGAGACAGGACCGGAGTAGCCTAGTTCCTTGAATGCCGCTTCCATACTGGGACGGACGAGAGGAGCATCATAACCTTCGGGAATCGGACAAGTCGACATGTCCCACCACACCTGTATTTTAGCTGTCGCAAATTCAGGAGTAGCCTTGTAGTTCCTTCCCCAGCTCTCCGTTACACAAACGACCTCGTCGTGCGTAGGGTTTACATGCTCCTGCGAGTAGTAATAGTTCGACAGTTATAGACATAGTTTCCAGAATTTATTAAAAATGTTTATCAATCAAATAGAGAGGAGAGGACGGTGCACTACTTACTTCCCGTGCATGCTTATAAGTCGAGAGATGCTTCTGGAATTTCTTGAGGCTTTGGCAATCGAAATCGCACGAGTAGCAATACAACTTGGCACACTGAACAACTTCTCGTCGTCGGCTTAGACTACTAAATAGTAAATATCTCCAGCACCACTCTTCACTTGTGCAGAGAAGAGTACCACATAGAGGCTTAACTGAATAAGCCAGAAAAAGGTTGTATAGAGTCCGTTGTTGTAGCCTGAGCAGATCCCAATCGAAGACACCTGGCACCTTATCTGATATGATCATCATTGTAGCCGGAGGAGGATTCTGACCTCGCCACTCCACCATATCCCGATGCATGTGGTAGTTTGTGCTTTCTGTTTCAGTGTTTTTTTTAAAAAAAGGTATTTAATTAGTGATATACCAACTGATAAACATATTTATATATATATAATGTTCCAGAGATGATGGATAACTAACCGGGTCTGGTATGTACTACAGAGACTCCAGTGGATAAGAGCCCTTGCAGGATGTGACCAGAGGTTTGTGTTTGGTCACCATAGGCAGTGACGGAGACAGGGCCAGAGTAGCCTTTTTCCTTGAACGCCCCTTCTATACTCTGTCGGACCAGAGCAGGATCATAACCCTCCGGAATCGGACAGTCCTTCATGTCCCACCACACCGCTATTTTAGCTGTTGCGTGTTCAGCCGTAGCCTGCATCCTGTAAACCTTTTAACTAACCGCACACATACACAAGTCCTCCTTTCGTTCTAGGGTTTCTTTATATATACAGTACATCAAACAAAAGCCAGTAAAGCTGTGGGCTTTACCAAATCGGATAGTCTATCTTTCTTATTATATAACCATAAGATTTTGGCATTTTTCAAAATTTATATCTTATTTTTTACCAACTTATAAATTAACTAAGGTTAAAGTCTTATTTTGGACTTTGTAATGTGAATTGTATTTCTGTGTGAATATATTATTGCTTTGTATTTATGGTATGTGTACATAAGTCTTCATACTAGGTGTTTGCTCACAATTTTATGGATAGTTATATTATACAAAAAATATATTTTATGTATACACTTTTCTAATTTCTGGATACTAGTTCACTACAAGAAAACAATTTTTTTACTAGGGCTATATCCGTGGTTGATTCGTCGTAATAGGACATTTACGACGAATTAACTAGGAAACGCGTTTTGTTGTTAATCGCCCGTCGTAATGCACATTTCGTCGTAAAGGCCACGTAACGTTACGAGGAACAAGTGTCGTTGTAAAAGTGAAGTAGAATACTTCGTCGTAAGATCGACGTTAACCAGCGACGTAAAATCCATGTTTCATTTCGACGTAATTACCACGTAAAGGTTCGATGTAAAGTCGATGTAAATTTACGAGTAGGTTACTAGTAGAACATGTAAAGTCGTAGTAAATATTACAACGAACTTACTTGTAATTAGATGTTAAGTCGTTGTAATATTTACAACGCAATTACTTGGACTGTTTATATATAATTTATAATTTAACACAAGTTTTATATATTTTTATTTTGTAATTTAAAAATATAAAACCAAAAAAATTTAAAATTAAAATTGTTTAAAAACATTATATTAAAGTCATAAAATAATATATAAATTTATAATACAAAATAAAATAAAATAAAATAAAACTACGGCATGTTGGTGCGGAGGTACTCGTCGGGGCGGTTGAGTTCCGGGCCGGGTCGACCGGTTGACTCAGGAGGATGCTGCTCCATTCCGAGAGCCGCTCGTCTTGCATTTAGCGCTCTCTGCATAACCGGGTTATCGATGGCCACGATGTCCAACAAATTCTCAAGTGAGTCCAAACGGTCCTGCTGGGACCGCATCTGAGACCGTAGCTGAGAAGTTTCCTCATCCCGGCGCGAAGTGTACGAAGAAGTTGCCCTTGGAACTTCGTTAACGGAGCCTATTCCCACCGTCCGTCCCTTCTTTCTAGGAGCCACCTTGTTTCAAAAAAGGTTCATTAATATTGAAATAATAATTAATAAAATCGAATTAATATAAACAAATTAAAATTTATTCAAAATTTTTACCTCTTTGAAAATCCGATCGACTTCTTTTGTAGTCAATGTGATGGGTGATCCATCGGGAGCCTGCTGGGTTAGTTGTGTATGCCGCTCCTCAACCCGAGAAACCACATCATTATAGAGTCTCTCGGAACGTGGATCCACAAAAACTCCATCTGGTGTGGCGTGAGTCATCCTGAATAGCTCAGTCAGAAATGGCATGACTCCGGTCTTCTTGGCCTAGAAACAAAATAAAAGAGTTAATATTTTTAATTACTTAATTAGCAAATAATAAAAAAAAATATTAAAAATAAAACTTACAACATCTAGACGAATCCCAGCGTGAGGCTTCTGGCCGGTTTTATGAAGCATGGGGTCATTGCTGTACTTATCCTTCGTTCTTCGGGAAGAAGAGCAGGAGTTGGCCTTTTTGATGGAGGCAGGGAGGCTCCAATAGCGGATGAGACCATTCCATACAAAGTTGGAGATCTCCTTGGGCTTCCCTTCATAACCGTAGAGTTCCCATTTGTCCTTCCAATCTGAGACGGTGTTGCAAAGATGAGTCTTGGCTTGTGCTTTAAAAGCCTCCTTCACCTTCTCGTTGATCGATAATGGCTAATGCCACTTTTGCTGAAACAAAAAAAAAAGATAATTTTAAAATATTAAAAAAATACTATTAAAATAAATATTAAATATTATAAAAAACATATTTACCGCAAACATTTTAAACCACGTTATCTTCACGTGGTCTGGAGTCATACTCCAATTCGGATGGGGCTCGAGAAAATACCCCTTCATCGTGTCTGAAACACTCCGGCTAACGCGGTTGTTTGCTCCAAACCTGGAAAAATATAAATTAAAAAAATAAATGTCACCAGCCATCAGTTTATAAATAAAAAAATTGAGAATTAAAAAAAAAAAATTTACCAATAAGTACCCCGCGGACGATCGGGGTCCAGAATATCTAAACCTTCTCGCCCCGGTTAGGCAAGAAGATCCTCCACAGTATAGGCAGCATATGTGCACTGGGAGGTACCCGCAAATCTGGATGAACCTGATCACCGCCTGCGGGAATGGGATCGGGAATGGGATCGGGAACGGATGCGGGATTAGGACCGGGATGTCGAGTAGGACCGGAAGGTGGAGGCATCTCATGATATGGTATATCATGGCCGGGATAATATGCCTGAGAATCCGACACACGCTCAGAAGACGACAGTCCGGAAGAAGATGTCCCGATACCATCAGTACCAAACATCTCACTATACGAAGGAGGTGGTCTAATCGGTCTCGGTCTAGGAACCATCTAAATTAAAAAAAAAATGTCATCAGTCATCAGTTTATCTAAAATAATTAATTACATAATCTAACCATCTAACCTAACCACCTAATTTATTACGTAACCTAATCATCTAAACTAACCACCTAATTAACTATCTAACCTAAAACTAAACTAAACTAAAAAAAACAAAACAAAAAAAGAAGAGAGAGGAGGTTACCTTGAGAGGGAGAGGAGGTAAGGAGGAATGAATGAGGCGAACAGCCTCGTATGCGAGTGTGCTTATATAGATAATTGCTTTCGTCGTAAGTTCGTCGTAAGTTGACAAGGCTTTTACCAGGCACGTGTTTCTATTACGACGAAACTACCAGGCCCGTGTTTTCACATTACGACGAAACTACCAGGCCCGTGTCACATTGCGACAAAACTACCAGGCCCGTGTTTTTCACATTACGACGAAAGTACCAGGCCCGTGTTTTTCACATTACGACGAATTAACTAGGAAATATATGAAACCCCGAAAATCAAATCCCTAAACCCCAAAGTTACTTCTTCTTCTCTTCTTATTCTTCTTCTTCTTATTATTCTTCTTCTTCTAAATTTTTCTAAACCTTAAACTTATTATATCAAACAATATTTTTTAAACTTATTATATTAAACAACATCTGTTACACATCGTTTACTGATATGAAAGAACAACATTTGATACATATTTTACAACATATGGTACATATTTTACATCATTCGTAATCATTCGAGTTCTCATCAACATCAGGAGAATCATCATCGCTTATACCTTCGAATTCGTCTTCACATGTTTCATCCATCACATCGTCGGGAAGATCTTCGTATTGATGATTATGCTGATCAATAAGAAAGATTTCATCAGTTTCTTGATTAGGTACTTCTACTTCAGTGACACACGCTTCTTCTTGCAAGGGTGGTTCTTCTCCAGCAATTATGCGTCCACGAGGTGTAATCTTGATAACAGCTAACCAAGTTGTTCATGAACTTCTAAGGCGAGGGTATGGAATGAAGCTAACTTCCTCGGCTTGAGAAGCTAAGATGAAAGGTTCAAATTTGTTGTATCTTCTTGAAGATTTGACAGCCACAACACCGAATTTGTTAAACCGAACACCCCTGTTCACAACAGGGTCGAACCACTCACATTTGAAGAGGACACATCTGAGCTTCAATAATCCCGCAAATTCCACTTCAATAATCTCTTGCAATATCCCATAGAAGTCTGTTTCGCCTTTCACACATATTCCGTAGTTACTAGTTGCCCGACGAATCCCATAGTTGTATGTATGAAACGTAAACCGCGTGTAAAATACATATGTGATGTGGTGACTTTCGCTACTGGACCTCGGACCAAATCGTGAAACCATGGGGGTAATATGGATCATCAGCTTCAACCTACAAAATTAATATGTTAACAATGTATATTAGCATTACTTACGTAATATTTGAGGTATATACATTACCTGAGATTTTAACCACGTGACATAGTGTTGATCTTTTCGTCGGTCCACTTCAGTTGCAGATACTCCAGGTATTGCTGCTTCTACTTGCGTAACAAAGGAACTACAAATTAAATTAATGTAATCACATCAATATATATAACATCGCACTTCATATAATTTAAATTCACATTACTATTTACTTTTCAAATGAACGTGTCACTGAATGCTCGCAGTTGAGCAGAATATAAGTGTGGGCACTATGCTTATCCTCGTCACTAGACCACCATATTTCTCGCAATCTCCCACCAAACCGTCCAATTTGGCAGAAAATATCAGGAACATTGCTTATTGGATATGTGGGGATGACTCCACCATCATCATATCTTCTACGAACTCTTTTTCTTGTACGTACTGTTGGTGCAAAGTAGTATGATGTGAAGTGAGATGTTTTCGCTGTCAAACTCCCCGCAATTATTGAACCTTCCACCTTTGCAAGATTTTTTGCTTTCCCCTTCAAATATTTCATAGCGCGCTCATACGGATACATCCATCCATGGTGAACAGGACCACGAAACAATGCCTCGTATGCGAGGTGAACAACAAGATGTTTCATGACGTCAAAAAATGCTAGCGGCAAAATTTTCTCTAAGTTGCACAATATGATCGGAATGTTTTCATGAAGTTGCTCGATAACTTCTTCCTTGAACGTACGTGTGCTTAGGTCTCTGAAGAATGCTCCAATGGCTGCAAATTGTATATATAATATTAACATTTCATAATATATGTATATATATTATTAAATAATCAACAATATTTACATGTAAGTGCTTCATGTACCTTTGCTGGAAGCAACTCAGCAAAAGCGAATGGAAGTAGTCGTTGCATAAACACATGACAGTTATGACTCTTCATTCCTGTGAACTTTTGACCTTGTTCAACACATCTTGAGAGATTAGAGACATATCCATCAGGGAACTTAACTTCTGATTGAACCCAGTTAAACAAAGTCGTCTTCGCTTCTGATGACAATCGGAAGATAGGAACTGGAATGTTTCCATTGCTTTTGATATGTAACTCACTTCTTGAGCAAATATCAGGTAAGTCCATCCTTAACTTTTTGCTATCTTTTGTCTTTCCTTGGACATTCAATATCGTATTCATGATGTTGTCAAAGAAGTTCTTCTCTATATGCATAACATCGAGGTTGTGGCGTAAAAGAAGATCCTTCCAATAAGGCAGCTGCCAAAATATACTCTTCTTATGCCAATTGTGACTGACCCCATATCCATCAGGCATATTTCCAGGAACATGCCAGTTTCCTCCACGGGGAACAGTTTCCTGAGCTCCGTAGTAATCAATTTGCGCTAGGATCTGTTCTCTAGTGAGATATGGAGGAGGACTATCCCTTACAACTTTTTGTACCTAAACAATGTCTTATTTCTTCGGTAGGGATGGGTAAGGGGAAGAAATCTACGATGACAATCAAACCAACAAATCTTCCTACCATTCTTCAAATGAAAAGCATCTGTTGATCCAAGACAATGTGGACAAGATAACCTTCCATGTGTAGTCCAACCAGAAAGCATACCATAAGTAGGAAAATCACTTATTGTCCAAAGCAGTACTGCA